AGACTGTTCAACAATATAATTATTAATTGTACCCCTAAAAATGTTAAAAAGAAATAGAAGATTAGAACTCAGCAATATGGATTCAAAATCCTATCACAATATTTTCTGGTATTTATTACGATAACAAGAGTTACAATAAAAGATAACAGTAACCACAATCACATCTGAGCCACTTTTGTTGCATCTACTGACAGACAGAACTAGCTGACCAACGTAAATTGAAGGGGGGAACACACAAATTGTCACTTTGATAATCAATGGAACTGATACAAGGAGTTAAATGCATTACATATAGCTGTATTACACATAATGCTGCATTTTAATGACACAAGATAAATGCATGTCTTACACTTTAATCACTGATATTAACACTAAACCAGATATCAATACGGGGTAGAATTCCTTCAAACAATGTAGCAACTTATTTGATGCATGTTTCTAAAATACACTATACATATATTTCATTCTTCAAACGGATAGGATCGCTGGCGCTCCTGGTGGTCATTACTGACACCAGGGAGCATGCGCGGTAGATGTTGGGAGTAATTTTAAAGCTGCAGTTCTTAGTAGGCAAGTTGCAGCTTAACATGAATCGTAAAACATTTTGGGAAATTACACCGATTTTTTTAAATGCCTGACTACTAACACCTGTGAGAGGCATACAAGCTAGAATGCTAAAAAAAAATTACCAGACATCATTTGTTTTAAAATAAAACATACAGAAGTACTCCCGAAAATGTCGGATGTTTATCATTTAGTACACATTAACCAAATTTGTCATCCTTAAATGGTTGTACTTACCAAATAATCCTCAAATGGCAATGGATTTTATCCAGGCTTCTGAGCATGATGCAAGTTTCGGTTGAAAATGGCGGTTGTTCAAACTTCCACACTGCACATGTGCAAACTGAGAAGTACGGAGAGCCTGTTAGGACAATCCTCTTCAAATTAAAGTGCTGTTCATTTTAAATTAACTTTTTACGTTGGATTTAATGTACTGCATTTTGTTGTATTGAAATATTGTGTTATTAATTAAAATCAAAACAATATCCTTGTGTTTAGAGTTAAAAATCAATTGGTGACATTAATTTTAACATAAAACGTTTACATAATGCTAGCAACATCAATGTATCATTTCTTAGAGTGTACTTGTTTTTTTTTCAGAGGCTTTGCTTCTGATTTTCTTGACTTCTCATGCAACTGAATCAAATCCTTTATTAGGACTTTTGACCCTGTGTCAGGACATCTCAGTTATTTACATGTAGGCAAAGCAGGTTCATTTGCTTGTCCCACTTGTTTGCAATAGGTTGGTGAAAATGGGATCTCTCCATTGCTGGTGCAGTAGTATAAACAGTGCTTTGCATTGCACCGCACTGAATTGAATAATCCCCCAGCTGATTTGCATTGGAAACTTCTATGGCCTGTCACAAGCCAGTGATTGTGTGAGATCCCAGCATCCAGTCTTGTGATCTGTACTTGTACAGTGCTTAAGGGCATCAGATAGTTAATTGATTAAACAGACCAATGTGTGCAATTAAAATAAGTCTCTGAAATCCAATTACCCCATATCGTGGCTATCTCACATGCACTAGATGAGATGGTCTTTTGGTTTAATCTGCTAATAAAAATAACTTAATAACCTAATAACCACCATTACACCCAATGTTTCTCGTTTTGGGTTCTTCCCAGTTAGTGGTTGTGCTGGAATGGGACAGTAAGACAAACAATCCCAGCTGTTTGACAGCATACAAGCTCCTTTGATCCCTTTGATTGTTTCCCACCTCCAAAAAGGAACCATGAAATAGGACTCAGGCTTTTCTGATTAGTTCTCATAAAAGGCCCTCTATCTCTGTTGATATCTGGTGCATAGTACTTCTTGTGACCTTTTCACACATAAAACACAAAGTTTGCCAAGTGCTTTGGCATAAATATGAATAGCTAGCTAATGTAATGTGTGCTTTTTTGTCTCTAAAGGCAGGATTATGGTTACTTCTGACACATTGGCTCAATTTCATGTCAAGTGATTAGTGCTTAGTAATGTGCTTCTGGTGTCAAGGCCTGCAGTTGTTGCCATACAGCTAAATATGTTAGCAACCATCAGCAATACAAAATAACTTGTGTATGGCTTTCAGGGTGGCTCGACCAGTGGTGCCTAAACTCTTAGAATACTTCAGAAGCAATAAACTTTTGTTTCGTTCCCCCCATAACTCATTTTTCACTTAACTTGGGTCTTAGTCACACAGACTCAGAGGCCTCCTGGCAAAACATAAAACATTTACTTTGTAGGCAAACGGTCTCTGATTTATGACGTATTCTTCAGTTTCACAACTGCTTAGCATGTAGTTGAACATGATGGCATCTTCCCTGGAAACTTCAGGTGACTCCATCAATCTGCTGGTGACCAATACAATTGCAAAGGACCAACCAGTCTGGAAATACACGTTTTCCTCTTCAGCCGGTAGTTATCATGGGCTCACTGATCGGTCTTTAGGCCTTATTGTGTGACTGGGGCCTTAGTTTGTTTCCCCGTGTAGTCATACACACAGTCATATAATCGTTGTGAGGGCTGGTGAAGTACGAGAGTTGGCTATTCTCAGTCATCCAGCTCATGGTAATCTTGACAGCTTGAAAAAGAAAGCAACTAGACTTTTTCAGGCTAAAGGAGTCCAGCTGCTTTCTTCTTCTCGATATATTATTAAATAAATTAAAATTGCCAGCATGTTTCCTCATTTTAAATGAGTCTGTTAATAAGTACAACTCGAGAACAGACTCCGCTGGCTTCTAGCTGGTTAGATTTCTGAGTGCAGATCTCAAAGTCAAATGTGAATTTCTTTTATATGTAAATTTATGTCTATGTAGGCAGTAACAGAGAAGTGATTTCTGACAATTTATCAAATACTGTATTATCAGAAAGAGACTGCATTTAATTGCTGATATATATCAAATTGATAATAAATTGATATCATTCTGAGGTCAGACTGACTCAGTTTTATGTTTTTTGACAAAACAACGAAACAATAACTGAAGTTAACAGCTTAACATTGAGGACTTAATTTACAGTTGAAAAAAGGTGATAAATGACAATATGTGTTACGACCTAGGACCATTGTTTTTGATTGACAGCCATTATGTGTCTCAAAATACTCAAAATTACAATGAGAAAAAAACCCTTACTTGCCAGTTAAATCCTCCGCTCCTGTCAACACATTCATTCATATAATCGGGTTTTAGCAGTGCACACTTTAGCTTTTTGCTTTTTGTTTTTTTGATGCATGCTCATCCCCCCATCAAACTACATCTGTGTTAAGACCATCTTCTGAATACATGTAAAGTATGAGATCGCGACTTTGATCTGACTTTGTTGGTACAGCACATCTCTCCTCGGCTCCCGCTCCAGTTAAACAAATATGTCATTTAGACGCCCGGGTGCGTCCTCGGAGTTCAGATGGTGTCATGGAGCGTTCGAGAGAGAGAGGATATGAGGACACACCTTCATATCAAACACATCAGCGTCTTGACACCATTGTGAGTTTGAAAAATGGTCCCATATGGGAGCTCTCTGTTGGTAGTGTCAATGTGGCCAAACAGGCTTTTCTCACCCTTGCCTCAGCAGATGTCACTGGAGGCAGTCCTCTCCTCTCCACTATCGTTACGCACCATAAAATCTTTTGTCATAGATTCAGTACGCAGCTTGTCAACACATCGGTCACTGCTCGACTCTCAAACGTCAACTGAATAACTATCTAATTATATCTAATTAGAAGCTAGTCCGAAGGTTTCTTTTTTTCTTTTGCAAACTAAGGTCATCAGTCAATGCTGTTTGGCTCTGGCCTGATAGCACTGGTGAGCCTGATAATGATATTACTACACGGATTCTGTCTGATTGCTCGCCTAGACCAGAATTTACAGTGTGGAAAGATAAATAGAAAACGGCACAGGCGCGTCAGTGTGCGTGCACCATTTTCCAGCCTGACATTAGTTGTAAGCTCCTTGAGAGTGTGACCTTTTCCATCTTGAGTTGATAGGTGCACTAATCTTTCCAGCTTTGGGGCCTCTGCAGGTCCCCGCTCCTGGGTCATCGAGCTAAGTGACAAGCCATAGGTTGATGGAAAATCCATAGCATTACTGCCATACATTACTTTTATTTGATTGGGCCTGTAGTGAGCATAATGCAATGCTGAGGTGGGGGCGGGAGCTGGTGAAGTAGCGTGGCTCCATTGGGGTCCAGGGATCATTTGTAGCCCCCACCACTCACCGGGCTGCGACAATGATGTATAGCTCGCGCCTGACATCCATAGGGGCGACCCTGTGAGTGCTTGTGAGTGCTGTAAATCACTCGCTGGTATTGATTTTCCATTAGAAGTCAGCCACTCTGAGCACCTCTGACAGGGTGCTCACAAACACCTCCCAATGTGTAATAGGAGGTCATGTGACTCAGGGGGAGATAGCTTCCAGGAAGTGTTTGTTGCTCACAGCCGTGTAATAAAAATCATCACTTTTTTCCTGTTTCCTGGAGTCTTGCCCAAACTCTAATAAGCATCTGATATATCGCTGGAGCGGTGCAGTTGTTATTGGTACACTGAGTGAGGTGTCAGCACTAATGGCGATGTGTGAGCGTCTGTCACACCCTGCTGTACATACATAGAGATCTGCAGGCCCATCTCTGGTTGTAGATGAAGAGGGGCCAGCGTTACGCGTGTGGAACAAGCTCACTAAGTGCCTTCTGCCTAAATTAGCAAGGCACTTTGTCTTGTGTAAATATAGTAGCATGTCAAAGAGTCGCGTTAGGAAGAATTGTAGAGGCCCAGGTGCCAAGTCAATATAGGTTTTTACGCTTGGATAAATGATTCAAATTTAGCTTTGTTTATTGTGTGAAAATGGGCGTGCTGCAGTTATTGTTGTGGATGTACTCCACTTAAAAAATAAAATGAAGTGAAACACAACTGTTTGTCCTGTTTGCTCTCTTTTCACCTGTGCTTTTTTTCTGTCTTGTGTTTCAGACAGTGCAGTCGCATAAGCCTCACTTCTTGGCACTGCATTGTCAGGAGGTGGGTGGGAAGAATTTCGAGGAGTCCATGTCACACGTGGATAATTTTGTGAAGTAAGTGTTGTGCTCATAAGTTTGTCTGATAGTTTTTTGTAGTGCTATAGACCGTGCAACACCCCCTGCAAAATTTTAGCCATTTAGGTCATATCTCAACTTTTTTTGCGCTAGTGTGAACTTTTTTTTTTGCTTATATATGACCTGGTGTGTTCTGTCCCTCAGAGAGCTGTTGTCCAGCGATGCCTTGAAGGAATACAGCAGAGCCCGCGTCTACCTCGATGAGAACTACAGATCCCAGGAGCATTTCACAGTGAGTGGCGTTTGATAGATTGTATCGGCTGCTGTGTGGATTTACCCCAGTTGTGAAAGTGTCTCCTGCCTCATTTCCATCTCTGCCATCCCCTCTCTGTCGTTCCTTGTTTTTCTGGTGGTTGCCCTCTGTTCCCCTCTTTCTACCTCACTTATTCTCTAAAGTGGTCGAATGATGTGTATCAATGAAAGAGGTGCAGGAAATGTTGGGTTAGTATAAACATGGTAATGTAGAAACTTTAACAAAGCTGATAAGCACTTATACTTATTAAACAGAAGGAGTAAGAAATATTCTTGGTTAATTTTTGCTGTTGTAGCTGTTTTAAAAAAAGATCTTCTACTTTTCAGCCACAATATCGATCGTATTAAAAAAAAATCTTGATTTCAGTGGGTGGCATTTGATGGCGGTAAGCAAACACTGCTAACTTAGGGTGTAATGTTTTCTTGCATCAGTGCAGAAGTTGATGCGAGTCAGTCAACGCAGCTTAAAAGGTAGTGAGTGCTTTGACTGTTCACTTTATTTTCATTGGCTCTCTTGCATGAATTACATGCTAGTGATGATTGGATTTCACCGGGATTATGCTAAATGCTAAATATACAATATTGAGTTTCCTTGCTAGGAGGCAAAGTGCCATTCCTGTGCACTCCTTCAGATGTACATGTATGATAAATACACAGAAAAAGAAGGATTGTTTGTTATAAGCTTACATCTGTTGTGATAGGGATGGCTAACTAGCTCAATCATTTGGTCTGAATCAATTTTTATTGCTCAACATGAAGATTTGGTACTGGATTTAATCATCTTTAATGCACTTAGGATGTGTAGCCACAGAACAGGGCCAACGCAGCGGGATAGAGAACCATTCACACTCACATTCACACCTACAGCGATTTAGAGTCACCGGTTAACCTAACCTGTGCATGGCTGGAGAGAGCTCACTTAAGCACAGGGAGAATCATGCAAACTTCACACAGAGCGAGGCCCCAGACCTCAGACTAGTTGTATCAAAGTAGAACTCCATTAGCAGACAGTTTGTACCCTAAAAATGATGAAAAAATTTCTTATTAACTTAGCTTGAAGCTTAAAAGTTCAATTCAGTTTTATTTATACAGCACCACATCACAACAATAGTCGTCTCAAGGCGCTTTATATTGTAAGGTAGAGCCTACAATAATAGTAGATACAGAGAAAAGTGCAGAGGTCTATTAACACATAGTGAATGAGAAAGGTGACTGAAGTAGAAACACATAATGCATCATGGGAATCCCCCAGCAGCATACACCTATTGCAGCATAACTAAAGGAGAATTCAGGGCCACTTGATCGAGCCCTAACTATATGCTAACAATTCAGCATATATATAAAATTATATGCTTTGATCCACACAACCCCACCACTGCCACCACCTGCTCTTTACACATTTCACATGAATTCTAATGCTATCAAGAACATTTGATACGTGCCAGTGCAGAAGCAATTTTGTGATAGGTGACTGAAATGGCACCACAATATCCTCCTAAAATAGGACACTGTGGTGGTATTTTAGTCTGTGGTTGGCATTGCTCTGTTTGTTTTCTGTAGATAGAACATGAACTAAAAAGCTGTCGCACACCATGTAATTGTTACATATGAGCTGAGTCTGTGGAAACGGACAACCGCATTACCTGGTTTTGGTTTGATATGAGTGCATAAATGAAAGATGGAGTGACGCAGCAGCAGCTGTGACACAGCTTTGCACCTGCGTTCCCACAGCCAAGTGTCACCTAATGTGATACATGACACTCACGTTGTTAGCTGCTCACATTGTAGGAGCCACCTTGCTCAGTTTTCCTAACACCTGCAGTAAACGCAGATGACCACAAGATGGCAGTAGAGATCTGGAACTCAGCTGAGCTGAGGCTGGAAGTGCTTGGGGATTGTTTCAGTACTGATTAGTAAATCATAGATTCCTAAACGTGAGCTGGGATTTATAAACAAAGCATATTTCAATTAAAAAAGAAAAAAAAAGTGGAGAAATTGTCCTGTTTCGTACATGTTTATGACCTTAAAATCGACACTTATAAAATCATTTTTCTTCTCAATGACTCTTTCCATACCTCCTCCTGCTAAACAGCTTCTGTGCCCTCTAGGTGGAGCCAAATGCTCAATTGTAACACCAGCAGCAGAGGATTGAGTGCTGCTCTCTCTCCACATAGAAGCATGTTTTATGTTGTAGCGTTATGGCTGATAGTGACCAGGCTGCAGGTGCATCAGATGATGATCTCCGCGTTCCCAGGAGATTATGTAGATAGACTATAAAATAACATATGGATGTTGTCAAGTTATGGACCGTGCCCCCAGACCCAGTTTGTCTGTGATCGCTGCCTGCGTCTATCTTGGATCTCCTCAGCACTTTGTGCGTTATCGCCACGCTACACTGCACCTCCACAAACGCTCATAAATCACAGCACCCACTGAGTCACATTTGCTCTTTTCAAAAAAATATTACAAACACTGGCCTTTCCCAAATCTAATTATCTGCCATTTCACATAAGCGCCGCTAATATCCCAGCATTATGATCTGTTTATTTAATGGTGTTTGTCTATGGATTAACCTTTTTTTCTTTTCTTTTTTTCCACCATTTTTTATATTTTAATTTTCCTCAAATACAGACGGCAGCTTGTGCTCGTCTTTGTGAGTCAGTCAGCGGAAAGAGAAACATCTGATGTGCTTTCGATGATGTTGATATTGAAATCCTGGCAACAGTAAATATGAATAGACTCTCCAGTCTTTCTCACACAGGGCTTGCCATTTAGCTCTGATGACATCACCTCTATTTGTTTTCTCAGTCTTCGATCTTTTTTTTTTTTTGTTCCCTCCTCCCTGTGCTCTGGGGATAATTGTTTGTTGTCTGCCCCGCTTGTCAATTTTCAGATAATGTAAGTGGGAACACATTTCTGGGTCCTGAGATTCCACTCGGTGTGAGTGTGTGCTGCTGTGTTTCCTGCATGCATCCGTGTATGTGTATGCATATATGTTTGTGTTGGTGTTTTTTGGGACGTTTTTTGGGACACACACACACACGTGTGTGTGTTTGAGAGTAAATGCAAAGGGGAATGCAATTTATAAATGCGTTGACATGAATGCATGGAGCCCTATAATAAGACGGTCAATTTATTTCCTTGCAGTGATTGATTTATTGCAACTTGATGATTCATCTAATGCCTAAATCAAGAAAATATGATATAAAATTTGTCTTTTCTTCCCAGTTTTTAGCTATTTTTTGCAAACAATCTGTACTTTTGCTTTTTTAAATGAAATATTTCAATATGCTCCTTTGAATAATGGATGGATTTTTTCCAGTAAATAAGTAGAATATTAAATTGTAATAATTCAAGTCATAAGCATGAACACAACTGATGAAATGTAAAGAAATATAAAGCTAAAAAAGAAATGTTAACCCCCCCCCCCAAAAAAAAAAAAAAAAATCATTTTAAACATATAAATAATGACAAGTAATGCAAAAATAAAAATGTCGAAGCCTAATTTAGTTTTTTATAGGAAAGACTTGGCTTTTTTCATTTTCATAATTTATTAGAATTATTTAGATTCCAGTCCTCACATCTCTTAAAGCATCTTTCCAATAATTGCTAGATAATAGCACCGTGTAATACCTGCATGTCAAATCTGAAAAATCTGAACAATGAGAAGCCGGGCGAGCTGGTAGCTCCTCCTCTCCTCCCAGAGGAAGGTGGCGGTACCTTGACTGACATGTTCCCCCCTACGGCTGAGCCCCGGCCTGGTGTTTTACAGCCCCGTTAAGGTATACAGCAGGTAAAATGTCAATTAGGAAGGCCCGCCCTGATAACTCAACTCCCAATCCACTTGTTCTTGGCCATTAATATTTATCGTAGGCCTGGCCCTGGAGCTGCAGCCCATGTCATCTGGAGTGACGTGCGCTGATGCTGATGCTGCTGCGTCCCGACACACACTTTGCTCTGGTGTCTCTGCAGCTAGCACAGAAAGGACACCTACCGCAGTCACACAAGCCTAATCAAGCTGTCCACACAGAGCAGGCACACGGCGCCTCCTCAGCCCTCAGTTGTTCCGGGGCATTTTAATGGGAAATTAAAGGCTTCTCTCATGTCTGTGGTCTGCAGGACAGGAATGAGAGCAGAGAGTAGAGGATAAATCAGGCCTCGTGCTTTGACAGGAGACCGCTGTCTCTTTTTATGTTTTGTGTTAGCACTTTGTCCTGCTTTGTTTTTCCCTTGGATTTGTGTCCTTGAACGTGAAGATGAGACAAATCTGCTGTGCTTGCTTGATTTGATCAAGTGTATCAAGTTGATACAAACTGCAAATGGTGACCCAGCAGAGGCAACATTTAGCATGAATCTTAAATCGTTTGTATTTGACTGAATTTTTATTATGATTGCATTAAGCATCTTAGTTTGTTTGGAATAATGGAGCAGAAGTTGTGTTTGTGGCTTCAGAATGAGTCTTATAACCACCAAGGTTGAGTCCTCTCTCAGGTAAGCCAGGATTCTGACAAAAATACATTTACAGTAGAGCCCAGCTTTGCTAAGTAGGACAGGATGACAGTAGAAGCCTTGGGTCAAACTAATTTGTATGAAATCTAATTTCATATGTATATTGCATTTGAAGCTGGGCAGCACGGTGCAGTTGTTAGCACTGTCACGTCATGTAAGAAAGCTTCTGGGGTTTTAATCTGCTAGTCGAATTTGCGGGGGCGGTTTTCTGTGTCTGCTCAAATTTCCTCCGGCCATCCATGCTTGTTAGGTTGATTGGGGATTCTAAATCGGCTGTACGAGTGAGTTTGTGTTTGCATATCCGTCTGTCTCTTTGACTTTGTCCTAAGACGGACTAACGACCTGTCTGCGTTTTACCCCACACAGACAGGAGTAGACTGCAGCACAGTGCAAACCTCTGTTGAGGCACAAAGCCACTGCAGTACGGCGTGTATGCCCAGAGGAGAAATACTGGGTGTAACTAAGTTAAGC